ATGAAGGCATGATAATATAATGTTTTAAATATTGTTAAGCAAGTAAAGTTATACTCAAAAAGAGAATGAGAATTGTTATTGCAGACGGAGATTTAATATGGATAATTTTTTACTTCCAACACCACTTATTATATCTGTTTGCTTGAAAATTTAGTTACAAACTCACATTTCTTAGCCTGGCTGGGAGCTAAAATAATGAAATATTAAAATGTATATGTGTTAGTACATTATCACAATTACTAAGATGTTTTAAAAAAAACTATACATCCAAAATTAAGCTACTTTTTGTAGTTCCAGTAAAGTTGTAGGTTTTTAGTTGTATATTTATAGGTAAGAAATAGTGTCTGTGGTAAAATCTAGAAAAATCCTCAAAAATGAAATTCAAAACATTAAATTGAATTGACCAATCACCATCCTTGCCAAGTTAATTTACGCAAGATAAGAAAAGATTATAAGAATAAGGAAAAAAACCAAAAAAAAGTAAATGTTATTGTTACCGTGTAAACGTAGAGCTCGTGTGGTCCATCTTGCAATGTCGTCCCATCTCCTTTCATCAATTTTACAAACGACATTCCAAAGAGTTTCCTCATATTATTGGTGGTTCCCTTAGTTCCTAAACAAAATCAGCATTAATACATTATGTAGTCATGTAGTTTGTTAGGGGAGAAATGGGGAAGAATAAATACTTATACTGTAACATTATTATTACCATTTACAATATTACTAACTTTGAGACTCAAATTGTATAATCATAAGAATTATTAATAAATGATAATAAATAATTATTAATTAATAATAAATAATTAATCTCTTGGCTGTAAACGTCAATTTCATGTTAGAAACGTCATTTCTTCTAGTGATTACGATTGGAGTTGGTGAACTCTGCAGGGTAGGTTCGTTTAGTTCCGAAGCAGAAATAGCCCACATGAGACTATCGAAATATCAGCAGCAATTCCCACAACCCAGAACATATAAGTATTTCCCTGCTTGGAATTTTCTGCAGATATTATTCTCCTGAAGACGATTGAAGAAACTCAATCGAAACATCGAGATATTCTCAACCAACAACAGTTCTTTTCAGAACTATCTACGTGGTGTATCGCAAGCATTAAATATATTATTACTTTGCCATGCAAACCTTCAAGCAATAAAAATAACAATAATAATAATTATAATAATAATAAAATAATTATAATAGTAAAATAATAATAATAATAAAATAATAATAATAGTGTACATTTATATAGTGACAGTATCCAGCAAACAAAATTCTCATGGTTCATTCAGTGAATTTCTTGACCTCTAAGGGTCCCTTTGTGTCTGTTGTTGTCCACCACGGGGCTGTCTGTCCCAGTACACCGGCGTATCCCCTTACTCATGTCCAATGATGTAATGGGTTCTTTATAGTGCACATGAAACTGGGCCTACGGTTTATAGTCCTTATCCGAGAAGACTTGTTCCACCACCAGAATCATAGACAAGACAATATTAATTACTATATTTTGAAAAGATATCTATCTACCTGAGCAGTGTTTAAATTCAAAGCGAATATGCGTGTCATTGAATTTGTCAATTGGAATCATAAGTTTTATTATTTCATTCCACCGGGGCTGGTTGTTATGGTAATAGACAACAGATCTGTATTCTTCAACCGGTTTAACACCATCACCAAGACAAATACACGGCTGGAAAAAAAAAATGTTGAATATACATGAAAAAAGCCAATAATACATAAAAAAAAATATACAAAATTTAAAAATTTATCTTTGAGAAATTTGATGAAGAGGTAAAAAATCCAAAACCTAATTTTGAATTTCTTATTGGCTCATCCAAAAGCATCTACTTGGAGAATAAAAAAAAGATATTTATTGACAAGTTAAAAAAATGTGTGTTGCCTTTGTAGAAAATCATAACCAGCTTTTTCAAACTTTTAATTTAGTCGGAAATTTTCATTTTTTTTTCAGGGCAACAGGTAACACAGCAAAAAAAGTTTTGCGATTCATATAAAAGCTGAAAAACCTTACGAGCAAAATAAGAGAATATAAGGAAACAAATTGTAAGAATGTAAATTAAATCTCTTGTTAGATGGTGGGTTTGCGAAATAAGATATAATTAAATCAAAGTTCAGCAATATAGCTTGCATGCAACAACTTTACAAAGTATATAATTTATATGAATCACAAAGCAAATACAGTATATATTATACAAAAAAGCATTTTTTCAAATATATGAACAGGGGTATGTTGCGGAAGAACAAATATCTGCTGTATCTGGGGCGGATGCAGGATTTGGCGATAGGGGTGCATAAGAGTCCACAGCACCTCAGCCCCACCATTTCAGATTTTGAGAATGTGGACCTCTACCAGTTGCAATTTTACCGGTAATTCATATCAAAAATTTATATTACAATATAATACAACAATTATATGTATATATGTTATGTAATCTACAGTTAAGTAGATTGCATGGGTTTTTTTTTTCTATTGCATCCAGTACACATACAAACCAATATCAATTTTTAGTGTGTACAGAGATTCTAAAAAGAGGTAAAATTGCTGAGTTTTACAAACCACAATTCCAAAACCCAATTCAGGCTTTATGCTTAATAGTATAAAAGAAATTTTCAATTTGGAAAGTTACAACAGCACTGTTACTCTCTCTGGATCCATCCCAGCATTCAAAAATATCATATAGGCCAATAACACAGTTAAATACAGTACATAGGTATTCTGAACAAAACATATATTTTCAAAGACATATAATAACTGTTTCAAATAACATAAATTTTATATAGATATTTGAATAATTAATAAAATTATTAAATCAAAAATTAAAAAAGAAAGTAATATCATTAATAACTAAAACACATATATTTAAACAGACATGCATGAGTTAGTAAAACAATAAGAAATTTATGTAAACAAAACACAGCACATGGTAAACATAAAAACAAACCATTAACAAAACAAACACAGCACCTATGTTAGGCAAAACTACTATACAACATGTTTATTACACAAATCTGCATGCAGCCAAAATGCTCCTTTTAATAGAAATACATATAAAATAATATTTCTCAGCAATACTCAGTTTAAGCATACTGTACAGAGTCTTAGGAAGCACTATGCATGGGCTCTCAACTGGCGGCCCACAGGCCATATCTAGCCAACAAATGCTGGATACCCTAAGCCAAAAATAACATAATATAAATAATAATAATAAAATTAAGCCACTATGTATTTCTTTTTTTTTTTCATCTTGAGAAATCAGGCCTGATGTTATTATCAATATTGATTAGAGGCAGCCACAACGTATATAATTAATTTATTAGGCATGAAATACTCGGAGCTAGGTCTGAAACATAGCGTGGAGCCACTTCATAACCCGTCATCAGTGCAAGCTGGGGTAACTACTGTACTGTATGCATGGTCAGCCGAGAATGATCAGCGTACGGTTCAAACCCTCGACAATGAGGATCAGAAATTGAATGGAGATCGCTGCGCCAAGCAGCATTCCCTTATTGCGGCCTCTGTTATAATATAGTTGACAAAATCTGTGCTATTGTTTTGCTAGATATTAGCCATAAAATAATAGCCTACTTATGATTATTAAATAGTGTTTTTAGGCCTGGAAAAAATACTTCATCAATGGATATCCATGCTGTGCACAAAGAGCATACTGTATATAACTTGTATTTGCTTAGCTCAGCTGAACCGTGAAGTCTTTCGGGTTCAATTCCATCCGCTACTCAACTTGTGTTTCGGCTGAAGAGCCGAAACGCAATTCACAACAGCGCACCATCTTTCAGATGAGACGTTTAAGCTGTTGGTCCTGTGTGGGATATGGCCCACGTGCAGAAAAAGATTTGGGAGGTTGTTTCTGTACTGCCAATTCACCACCAGAATGGGTTATTCTTGGTGTGATTCAAACCAAGAATACTCTCCTTAATGTTGAGATTGAAGTGCGCCCTCACTTATCATTATAAAAATGTTGGATATTTGAATACACACTTTACCAAGTTCTAGCTATACATACACAAGAAATAAAACAGAACAAAAAAATGCAGAAAATACGAAGCAAAGCATGTTGTCAACAGAAAAAATTAGCACGATTAGTAAGTAGGAAACCTTGTGAGGACGTTCAAAATAACAGTAAAAAATGCAACAAACCACGACTCGATTGTCAGTCAGAACATGCACGATTATTTCAACTTTGTTGTGATCCCTCTCAAATTCCGCGCTACTTAGATGAATATACACATCGTTACGCACATCACCTGTGAAAACGCAACATGTAAAATAATGAGACGTTGATAAAATAAACGACTGATTCCAGCCGGTTAGACACGTACCATTTTGCGCGGGTTTCGTTGGTCTCGATGGTCGATCACGCATATCGTGACCTCCACGTTTTTGCCAGCAGTCTTTCCACCTCGGTCAAACAGTGCTCGGTCAAGCATAATATATAGATCGTTACGTAAGTCGCCTAAGGTGATAAAAAAATTTCTAAGCAACAAATCACAACTGTATTTAAGTTTCTTTCTGTTAGGGCTCCCTAGGCAACAACAACTCTTTAAAATTGTTAACATCTTAACAATGTAAGTAAAGTAAATATATAAATTTTAATATTAAATTTTAAAATAACATACTGTACATACTACAAATGTAATGTTTGTGATAGCAGTAACTAAAGCAGTGAACGTAACACTATTAGTGATTTTAACAATAACAGTGAATAGACTCCTAAGTGTACTGCAGTGTACGTGTCGATGCAGATGCAATTTAAAAATTGCTACTTATTCACTGAATAGCAAATAATTAAAAAGACAAAGAAAAGCAATACCTTAACAGAACTCTGTACACCAACCCCTTACCATAGTCTTTAGTAGGCCAAGCTCTTCACCCTAGCTTTGTTGGGTTCTTTTTGGAGTTTTCATTATTCAAATAATATCACTAAAAGTTTTTTGTCTGTCAGACTTTCTTTGAACTCAATCATTATCACTAATCATGTCCTCCCACTGTAACTCTAATATTCATTCATTGTTTATTAGATAGACAAAAAAAAATCACCCTTGAAATGTCCTTGCTTGCCCTTCTAGCAGTGACATAATTATACCATGACATTTTATTTTTGTCCCTCAAATAAATAATAAATAAATAACAGTAACAACAATTGGCCAAACTATGTTTGATAATGCATACTTGTTATAGACGTGAATAGATAGTGGGTCTCCAATGTTTGTTTTATTCTGCCAAAGTACTAATTTATCCAAGTGTGACCAAACATTTCCTAATGAGTTGCGACAGACCACAATCTGAATGTGTCAGACTATGCGAGGCTTTTAAGTTAAAATTACCTGAAATATGTTGTTTTTCGTAAAATAAAAAAAATTAAAAATAAAAAACAAAAAAAACAAAACAAAAAAAGCAGCAAGATAGTCATATGAGGAACACTTTCAACAGATCTAAAAAAAAAATAAAAATAACTGAAAATAATTAGAGCAACAGTTTGCCCGTACCTGGCATAATGACATCGGCAAAACCTAACTTCCTTGTGATCGATACGTTCTGTCTGAACAGTAGAGGTTTCTCGATTTTCAACTGCTCTAGCTCCCCATGAAGCATGCGCATCTCAGCTATGATGCCTAAGAAGAGGAAGCAAGAGAATAGAAAGTGAAAATACAATTTACTTACTAACAGGGATGTCGTTTATGGTGGGCAGGGCCACCTAGCCTTGAAGTTTTCCAACCAGGCTAAAGCTAATATCATGGCCCTCCACCCACCCTAACCCACTTTTCTATCCTTAAAATCCACTCTTATTATTTAAAATTTACCAAAGTTATCACCCACCTGCCCTTAAAATGTCTATCACCAACCCTTAGTTTTCTACAGCTACAACCCTATACTAATAGTAGTAACAGGAATACAATATGGTAGAGCAGTTCTCCAGCGAACGCTGTTGAATTTTAGAGGCTGTCTTCTTACTCTTGTAGATTTGATTTTGTAGCAAACTGTTGCTACAAATCTTGACAAACATTCATGTTCATTTGGGCTATATTATATCATATTATTCTATTCTATAGCAGCACTTATTTTGCTGGAAGGTTTCATTTTGTATATAATATACTGTACAGATGGTGGTGAGACTACAATATCCCAACTACCACTGTTGGGGCTGAGGTATGAATTTTGGAGCAAGGCACCTCTAGTAGGCTGAAATGGCACTCTTGAACTAAAATTTCAATGCTTTCTTCTTCCATATTAATTTTTTGTTTTTTCAAGTTTAAAAGGTGTGGTCTGACTACCTCTAGCCTCACCCTTTACTATAATCTGTTTGTATTTGTTATTAAATGGGAGTAGATCCCTGGTTTATAATTTAATAGTTCAGTAGCTAGTAGTAGCAGCAGCAGTTTTGTGGTGGCGGCAGTAGTAATGTTGCTAGTAGTTGCAGCAGGAGCTGCAATAGTAGCACAGTGGTTGTAGTATGCATTTCTTACATCATCACAGCCTGCATTGCCTACCTAGATTTGTTGTACTGGTACTGAGATTTTTTGCCTTGCCAGGTGTCGGACTAATAAGATTCTCGTGAAGATTACAGAAATCACTGTCAGTGTTAACAAGCCTGTGGAAAGAAGACCGTCAAGTATTAATCAAGTATAGAGGGCAGCAAATCAAACAAATCAAAGGTGATGGTAAAACTAAGAATGGAATACTTATTTTAGAAGATTATACATGTCATGTTGCATATTTAGAGAAAGAATGAAAAAGTAAAGAAAGAAAATATAGGAAAAATGGAAAAAAAGATATAGGAAATAAGAATGAAAGAAAAGAAATTAAAAAAAAGAAAAGATACAGAAAAGGAAAGAATGGTTATGGAAAAGGAAAAGAAAGGTATTAATGGTAATAAGTACAAGAAAGGAAATAAAGGGAAGTACAGGAAAAGACAGGAGATAGAAATGAAAAAAGAAAGAAAAATGGGAAGAAAAGAAAATAATATGGAAAAAGAGAAAGAAGGTAAAAAGGACAAAAAAAGAAATATTTTATTAAAATAAATTAAAATAGATAAAAGAAACAAAATCAGGATAATAGTATTTTATAGTGGCTATTTATTTATATATTATGTAATCGTTGAATAATCCATCCCCTATATACATGTTGCACTGCGGCTGTAAAATTGCATAGGTATCTTTACATTATGAGATAAATTAACAATTACTATTATCATTATTATATTACATTTATTAAGCAACTTATCAGACATAGAATTTACGAACAGAAAAAGGAGTTAACATAAACCTTTAACTAATATTCTTACGTTATTTTGATGACTTTTTCTTTGTCGTTGGAGCTTGAATACGGTGCTGTAAGAAGGTCACTCAAGCTCAGCACTGCAAAAAATTACATAAGGAAAAATAAGTTAGTATCTAGGCCCAGTGGTGGCTACAGGAATTTGCCAACAAGGGGTCCAACATGTCCAAACCATGGTGCCGACTAGAGCCTGGTCTGGATCCTAGAATAAAAATCCTTGGTAGGGTTCATAGGAAGAGTTTTACGGCTTATTATGGTCCAAACTGTGCTTTTTAAATTTTTGATTCAAGGACCTCTTTGTGGCGTATTATAACAGGGGTGTCTAGGCCTTTCTGACAGGAGGGCAAAATGCCCTCTGCCCTTGCTGGCACCACTATTGTCTAGGCCTGTGAAAAAAATTCACTTTTGTTTACAAGTCAATGTCACATTTATAGTATCCTAACATTCCGGGAAGTGGGTCGCAGCAAGTTACCTTAAAGGTGCTAGCTGTGACCCACTTCTTGGGCTAGAAAATAGAGCAATATATATGCACAAACCAGAAGTGATGTATTAAACAAAATAATAGACAATTAATTTGAATTACCTCCTACTCCATAAGGCCTTCTGTAATCTCTCGGTCCTCTTCCTAAAGTCGTGGAGCTACTGATGGTCATTCTACCGATCCGTACAATATGACAAACTAAGTATAAATCCCTCATCAAGTCTTGATTACCTAAATCCTGTTAAAATCAACATAGGAAATCAGAGGGAGTCACACACCAATAATCAAGCTAGTATACCTTTGCTTCATTTGTAAATCAGACAAAAATATTACATTAAAAAATATGATGATGATAATGATGGGCTATCCCAATTTATACAACACCTCTATATATTCTATTAATTTGATTGGTTAAAAACAAGTATATATATATTCCATGGTTATTTGAGTACTAGTCAAAGATCATAGAATAGTACTTTTTCAATTCTCAAATGCAATGTGACACGAGAGAAAAATTAGCCTAGCATAGTTAAAACCTGTGCGTCAACAAGGAGTTGTTATTCAGTAGCCCTTGTCCTGCCGACAAAATGGCAGGTCCATTTGGTACTGGGTCGTTTGTACTTTTGAGCGAAAAAGGCTTTGAGGAATTACTGAATGAAAGTAATGCTGAAAAACAAAAAGGCAATAAAATATGCAGTAACTCACAAAAACCCTGCAAGTAAAGAAGATAAAATGAAGATTTTGCTATCGTTAGATACAGCTGGGCCTAGGATAGGCAGGCCGACACCCGAGGGCATCCTGGACAAGATATTTACTGATACAATGGAGAGAGATACAGAGGTGTTGTATAAAACAAATAATGAATGTTTCTCATTCGTACAATTGGGTAAAATATTTCATTTGGTAATGTTCTATTTAACTCGGTTACTCCTCGTTGAATAGAACATACAATCTTTCACCTCATGAAATATTCTACCCCATTGCACTCATAAACTTTCATTATTTATATAATATTGAGTGTTTAGCAATACTAAAAGCATATTAAATACCTCTTAATATTATTTTTAATTCTTATCTATTTTTCCAGTTTTTACTGTTCAGTGATTGTCAAAACCCCTATTCAGAGATAATACAAGTGTCTCAAATTATAAAAAGTCACTTACCTTAAGATCTGGTTAAATGAGCTTTTTCTTAACACTATCATTTTTATTGTGCAGCATATAGTGACACCCATTGGCACTGACTTCCAGAAGATAATTAAGTAGTAAAAACATGCAAATACGGTATTTTGAATTTGCGGGAGATGGACTATTTCCCGAAGATTCTTGCTTGCTTGAGGGAGTGCAGAGGCAGTTCCGACTTCTGAGACTACACAACTTGCAGAGACTTGGGACACCCGATAATATATCCATACACAATATACATACATACATACAGACTGTGCACAATATAAAAATATTTATATAAAGCACTTACACAAAAAATAGTTGACTGGTTGCCAATTAATTCTACATCATTTGGAACACCATGTTTATTAATCTTGGCCAAATATCGTTCACTGGAAAATATAATAAAATATTATTTAATATAAATAGAATCATAAAACACTAGGCCAAACCCACTTCACATTGTTTGTTACAGTGGAAAAAAAATATTCAAGAAGCATAAACAAAACAATTTCAAATATTACACTTTTATTAGATTTGCGCTTTCAATCAAAATGTTTTGAGCTCCAGGAGGCCTGCTGCAGCTGGAGTGTTGTTAACAACCAGTGGTGCTGAGCAGGCCTGGTAGTCAGGGAGAATCCTTTGTAAATTTAAAGATTATCTGATTACCTAAATTGTCAGAGCTTCCAGGATTTGACCCCTGACACCTTCCAGGAGGTTTTGGCTGTAACTAGTTCGGCATACTTATGCTATCAAGGACACTGCTTTCTAACAGTCAGGGACATCCTACCCCTAACTGGTTCAAGACATTGCATCCCGTACCCATCAGGAAAATTTCTCCTGGTACTGGTGATCAATGGATTGTCCTGCTAATCCCCATCATTTGATTATTGTTACTAATACCCTACAAAACCACCGTTAGTAGAGAAACATGGATGAGTATGTGATCGTTCCTTGTGTGAGTAACCCTTGTCCAAAATATTTTATTTATTCACCCACATAAACACATAAATACAAGTGTAGTAGAAATGATGAAAAGGAAACAGCAAAGAAACTCAAAGAGTTTTAACGGTATTAGACTGAAACTCCAGACGGTTCCACTAGGCAGTAAACAAGGAAACAATCTGATACTTTCCATGTATGAGTTAATCAATGGGACAAATATTTTCATGAGTTGAAAAACTGACTGTTCCATTCAACGAGGCAGAGCCAAGTTGAATCGAACATTCAATCTTTCAACTTATAAAAATATTCTTTCTATATGAATAAAAAAAATTCATTATTTGTTTTATAACACACCTGAAATAAATTCTTGTCATTTGATATTGTATGAAAAAAAATCTAAGTTTTATCTGAATGGAGATTCTTGTCATTTGATATTTTATGAAAAAAACCCACCCTTTTTCTAAATGGAACAGTCCAGTATATTTTTAACCATTCATAAGATTGTATTTGGTCGAAGTCATATCGTATCCTAGGAGCCGTGCAATGGAGCAAAACGGATGGAACGAAAATGCATGGATGGAAGTAAAAATGCACGGCGGAACTAAATTTCCACGAGTTACGAAATGAGGTCAATAACCAATGTCACATGATACAAAATTCACCAATCAAATGACAAGCATCTATCTAGGTGTGTTATTATATAAGCTATTTAATACGGAATGTACCTTACCTGAAGTATTTCTGTTGACTGGCATTATACAGGGTAAAGTAAACGTCAGCCTCTTCCCCAGCTAAACCGCATCCAAAGTTCTTCATATTGAAATGAATATGATGCGACAAAATCGTCTGGTTTGGCTCGAGTGGGTTACCCTGTGAAGAAAATGACATCCATTAATATTTTAACATCTATCAATAAAAAAATGTATAATTTCTGCAGTATAGTGATTTATCCACAAGTGTAATAGAGGCCATACTGAATGGCGTGCATTTCAATACTTGGAGTATGCATTATACTTCTTATCTGAGATCAGTTGACATTTTGGTTCCATATTGAATACATGTCTATAAACAAGATGGGTGCCACCTTGGATTTGTCTTGTAAGCATTGGCATAGCTTTTTAGCGCATTGTATTTAAAATTTTAAAACACAGAAATAAAAGTTATTACTAGAAATTTTTTTTAAATAAATAAAAATAAAAAATTCAATTAATTCAAAATAATAATTTAAAATATATATTTTCTATATGTAGTTTCAGCACTCTTGCATGGCATTACGAGCGCTTTTAAACAGCCGTGTTACAAGCTTGCTTGTTTCATAGCCAAGGTTCAATCTCAAATTTATATTTGAGCTACACTGATGAGCCCTTAAAGGATGAAACAACGTTGTATGCAGATTGATTTAACTTATTATAGCTCCTTAACATTTGCTTTGTTGAGCACTCTATTGAGATAGTACCATTGCTGTTTTGCATTTAGCTGGCCCACTATTATATGTAGTTTGAGCACTCTCGGCATGGTATTACGAGTGCTTTTAAACTGCTTTGTTACAAGCTTGCTTGTTTCATAGAAAGGTTCAATCTCAAATTTATCTCAGCTGCACTGATGAGTCCTTAAAGGACGAAACAACGTTGTATGCATATATATAAGTAGGCTAGAATGCAACGTTTAAAAGGTTTCCTCTGCTCTTTGCCTATTAGGCATACAAGGAGTGAGGTGGAGCCAGTTGGATATTAACTTCCATTTTGTTTAATTACTATGGCAACTTTAATGCCTCAATAATGGACTAAATGATAGATTACTTGGAAAATATGAAGATTTCAAATTCCCTTCACATCTTTATTACAAAAAAAATATTTATGTTCAATATTATTCTCAAATTAATAAAATTATGGATCTTTTCAAACTTAAGGGTATGTATGTATGCACTCACCGAACCCCCACCCTCACCCTAAACTGGATACAGCCCTGGTGTCAGTAATAAAATCAACATTATTAATATAAAACTATTAAAAAAAAATAAAATCATAAACTGCAGTTAATAATGTAATGGCCACTATAAGTTTCACAATTGATCGTTTCTTATACCATGGAACTATCCTAATACAGTATTAATGAAATCAAAATTGAAAGTTAGTCTAACAACAAAATGATATGTTTCAAGTAAGTGTCTTTACAAAGAAAAATAAAACTAAAACTTTTATTGCTACCAATGCTAAATGATACTTTTAAATTAAACTTTTGTAAATTAAAGGATAATACGGTATGTGATGATGGACTTTAAATGCACCCAAAACCTGTTTTTTTGCATGAAGCGAAAGTTTCAGTTCATGCGCATTCACATTACTATTTGAGTTTTTCACTCCAGCAAAATCAGTAATTCAAACTGTTTCTACTTTTTGTAAAACGAAAAAATGTGCAACCAATATGAGCTCACGAAGCGAACCAACGCTTTTGATTTCACGTGAATAAATTCTCTAAAAAATAAAAATGCTCTACAGAAACTCCAAACCCTATTTTTTAAATCTATGATAAATAGAACTAAAAAAAAAATTATATGTAAAATGGAATGTACTGTATCACAACTGATTTAAATAATTCCCTTATCTGTAAGGCAGGCTTTAACAAAAAATGCCCAAGCTTTTGATAACTGGAAGCAAAATAGTAAAATCAATGTATTAATATTTAACACCAAATATTCAAATGTTTTGGTTTAAAAAAAATGAAATGAAATAAAAACAAGTGATGTTAGATAAAACCCACAAAGGAACTACTGTACTAACTATATTTTTTGCTGTCATTACCAATATCATTACTTACTTTATCTAATTTTAAAGGTGTTTGTGGGCTCTATACAAAATAGAAACAGATAATTTATATATTATTCTGATTATAAAATATACACAAATGAATACAAGAATTATTCATAATCACAAGCAAATATTGTTGCTAAATATGCAATAAAAAACAGTACAACATCATATAACTTACCTGTGAGAAGACATATGCCTACCCCTAAAAGTAAAGTTCCCTGCTGAAGTATGTCTAGTAGTCTAGGCTAAACCTATCCAACTATTTACCAACCTTACCCACGTGAGCCCCTTCCGGGTAGTAACAGACAAAACCAGAACTACTGTAGGCCTGTAGGCTCACTATTATTCACATTGTCTTGTGCTTGGCTATAAACACACATAGAATTGGAGGGGGGAGTGGGAACTGAAGCCTGAGGACCTAGTACAGTGTTAATATATTAATGTATTATGTTTAGATATATAATGTTCATATTTAAATATTTGGATTAATTAACAACTTCATTTTTTTTAATGAGATGTCAGTTTCATTGTTACCTCCAGTAGACCTAAAATGTATAAAAATTTAAAAGGAAGTGAGAATATAAGAAAGGTTCTCATATATGTCATTCTTTTTATGAATGCCGGATATGCATTCTCCTGTCTGGATTTTTTTAAGGTTATTAAAAAAACCCTTAATTGCACAACTGGTACTGGCATGAACCTTTATAATGAGGTACGGATTGACATAAGAGATTTCAGAGTGAAAATGGTTGGTGGCAGGAAACAATAACAAGGAAATGAAACAGGATAGAAGCAACATGTCGCAGCATGTGATGTTATCAATGTTTACACGATAATGGCAGAATATACTGTAGTAAATTACTGTAACATTAGCACTAGTTCCAAAACTAGAGAAATTAGGCTAGGCCCTTAGGGACCCTTGATAGCAGCGATGATGTACCATCAGTACAACAGGAAACAATACCCTACCCTTTCTATTACATTACTTTCAGTAGTCCTGTGTTTCATTTTTATCTCTGCCAATGGAGGTTATATATTTGGCAAAGACAAGCGAAACCAGTCACTCATCGCAAAAATTTATTTTTAGTTATCAATAAAAGGTTAAACAGTAAAAGGAAAGCTACAAAATATTAAGAGAATCATTTAATAAAGTTAGAGGAGTTTAAACATACAGCTGTTTAAAGAACAGTATTTGAGAAATCAGCCGTCAAAATTTATGATTTCTGGCATTTCTCAGGCAGAAACCATCACCAAATCTTTAAAAATTGTTTTAGCATTGAAAATGGGAAAAAACAGCATATCATGACATAGGGATATAAAGTTATTTTAGGGTAATAAAAGTAAATTTCAAAAAATTTGACATTCCAGCATGTTTTGGCAATTATCTATAAAACAGACTCGTTTGGCGCGACTTTGCCACATTTTCACCTCTGTCTCTTCACAAAATGCAAAAAAAAAAATAATAATAAAGATCATCAAAAGATTTACATAATAATCAAAGAGACCATTCAATTTTCTCAGAAGGTGAAAGGACAAGGTTAAGGTCACATAAATTCAATGTCTTCCCTCCAGCTTAAAAGGAAATAATGGAATTGTCCCCCTGTATTAAGGCAGCACTCAAGAACATAATGTTCCTGAATACAATGGCCAATTCCATTATTTTGCAGTTTCAAACACGGTCTGCATATTATTGGTATTCAGGGCCAGGACGGTGATATACACTCGATAAGGTGACTGCTCCAGCAACAAATATAATGGTAGAAAGGTAGAATTGTAGCTTATAATTTTAGTTTAGCTCTAGTTTGATTATGTATATTAATGTATTTTCCATTTTCTTTTAATTGTCATGGAGGCACTTTTCATTTTAAAGAGCTGCCACTGAGGTACAATGGGTTAGTTTCCTGATAAATTATTATTATTATCTTAATCTTGAATTGTTAGTTCCTTAACACCCTAAGCAAAGCAAACAGCACTTATGCACTATACTATAGGAGGGTAACAACACACAACAGATTATTCTATATAATAGCATAATAATCAAATATACACATTTTGTATGTAGAAGGCTGTATTTCTACCCGAAATGATTTTCTTTTGGTATTTTTAAATGATTACTACTTACTGAAGACTTGTATTTTGTATCTTCTGTGCTTCGTAGATGCTGCCAGAGATGAAGGAAAAAAATAAGTTATTTTAAAATTATTGGTAATCAAGTCTCAAAATGGTTTACAGACAAAAATGTGGCCATAAACGGTGAAAAAGTTATTGAAGTAAATACGAATCTACAAATCGTAAACAAATTAAGACATTGATATAATGTGCTATATCAAAATTCCACTACGTTTACATTTACTTACAATTTTATAAAGTTGAATTATGTTACAGCAATCGCCGCTGACCATCTCGCCACCGATCCTGGGTACCAGGTCAAGTCCTAGCTGGCTATTACCTTCGTCGATTCGACCAGTGATTTCTTTCTTCAGTTCGCGAGTCTGTTCTTGCGTTAATAACCCAGATATGAGCTCTAACCGCAGCTCCATCAGTTTTACCATCAACAATTGCAGGATTGTAAAATTCTGGGTGTTGGCATTCTGGTGGGAAAAATTATAACAATTATAACTAGTATATTAGGAATATTCCTCATAGAATATCTCACCCTCAGAAAATGCACACCAAGAATAATCCCCATAGATCAAATACAATGGGTAACTAGATTTAAATTCGTCACTGATGAATTAGGTGATAAGCGAACCCGATTGATTTGCACAGCTCAAAATAGCCTCAAACATGCTTTGAATTAGCCAAAAAGTGATTTTCATGATTTTTAAAAATTAATGCATACGTATGCACACATCATGACGCACGCGCAGACGATAATGGCAAATGAAGTTAATCCTTGATATGAAGAAAACTTGTGTCTGTTAGTGTTGTAAACCAGTAATAATCAATCATAGAATTTCACAAAGATTTGAAGGATGAAAATAGGGGGGGGGGGGGGGGGGGAGGGGGAAGAACCTTTAATTTTGACCATGATGACATAATAAAAATGAAAAATAGAAACACATTTACGAAATAAAATTGTCTCAGCTATAACATACTGGATTTTTGGAGATGATCAAGCAAGGATGAGTGAGATACGCTCATATGCGTATAAATATTATGACGTCGGATAAAAATAAATATTTTAAATTCAGATGACAATTTCATGACTTCACAATGTCCGATCAGAAACCTAATAACATTACAAACGCTCTCATGATGATAATTATAATGACGCAGGCGGAGTAGAATAGCTTGGTGGTTAGATGGTCGACTTCGCTAGAACAAAATCACTCACGCATGACTGTCCTGCATGGCATCCTACGTTCTCTGCATACGTAGATTTGGCCAAATTGCATTCCAGAATCTACTCAACGAAGTGATATTAACGTTCTTGCATACGCAGACGCCATTACGTTCTATGTCCTACCATTGTTGTGCAATCCAAAGCGCCTTACTATCGGCGCTGGTTTGAAACGGCACGCTCACCTATGGTTTTGGTGGTAGAACAAGTCTTCTCGGATAAGGACTATAAACCGTAGGCCCAATGTACACAATGGCTCGTGTGAACTATAAAGAACCCAGTATAATATCATTCGAGACGTGTAGGGGAATACCCTGGTGTACTGGTACAGATAGACCGTGTGGTGGACGACAAGATTTGCTGGTACCGAGTATAAAATATTTCTAAAACAAAAAAAGAGCAAGACCTACCACATATGACTTTTTCAATATCACATCCCATTCTCGTAAAACTGAGGTAATTTCCCTTCCTATAGGGTCCTCAGCTGATAAAACTGTCTCGTATCTCCTGTTGAAGACATTCCAAAAATAAAAGTTTTAATTAAATATCATTAATACTCAGTCAACAAATCATTTTGTATATATATATATATATATATTTTTTTAATTCTTATTTATTTCTTTATTTACATAGTGCTCATATTTGCAGAAAGAGCTTATTTCCCTGGATTAACATGTTGCTGTGTAATCAGCACAGGAGCAGGCAGGTAGGGCCTTAACCAATTATACTCCTGGGTGGTGGAAAGCAATGCGGATAAAGTGCTTTGCACAAGGACACAAGCAAAATGCACAGAGAAAGGATTGAAAACCCGACCTCAAAATTTAGAAGATTATTTATGTATTTATTAAACCAAATCAAGAGCGGACACAAATCCGCCACTTACATGATGGTACACAAGACCAGAAACTTAAGACAATAAACAGAATACACAAAGAAAGAAAACACTTCACTAATCACAAGTAGGTAAGTCAAAATTAAAAATATCAATATTGGGATAGGCTTGAACTAAATTACTATAAGATATACTTAATTTAATAAACCCATTTATAAAACATAAACTCTATAAAAAGGAATGTTAAAAACATTGCTATTTCTTAAATTGCAAACAGGAACACAGAGGCCAAAACATTTTTAGGCTTGCCTTCTCCCAAACCAGCCTACATTCACTAAATATTAAACTGAGTAATTAGCGTAAGAATGTGGCAGTATTGTATACCTGTCTCTTATACACATCTTATATATTGAAAGCATATCATTGTTTAACTTATACTCGATAGTTTGCTTGTGGCTAAATTATACGAACTTTATACATATTTAAAAAAATTGTCTGTCAGGTATTTGTCAGATTCAACAGACTACAATTACTCGACTTTGACAGTGTATGCTTGTTTTAGAAATTCATTATCACACAAAATTGTGTATGTTTCACATGCTTTAAGTCTCACAATACTTCCTTAAATTTTCTTCAGAGGAAGGCAGTTTGAAGTTTAGCCGTTTTCATTTAGGTCTTAACCTTACGATCAAAAGTCAAATAAAATGCTCAATATTCTTGAGTGGCCATGCATAAAACATACTTCAGTGTACACTTTCAATGAAGTGGACTAATGTCTAATCAAACAAAAAAAGAAAAAAGAACAAATGTTTGATGAAACACTGCCTGTGAAGTCTGACACACAAAATCTGATACTCTAAGCCCAGCTTTAAGCCAATCATATGAAAGTAGGGGTGAGAACTTGATATTCAATTTTGCAGGAAGTAATTTTGCTAGTGGTCACAAGCTTTTAACAGATGTTTGATCAAACATTGCTAATGAAGTCTGACAGATGAAACCTGACACTTTATGCCAAGCTTTAGGCAAATCATGACAAGTAGGTGTAAGAACTTGATATTTAATGTTTCAGGAAGTAATCTAACTTTGGCCACAAGCCTTTAACAGATGTTTGATGGGAATTTTGATTTGACCAAGATTTTCTCAGCAACAGTTACAGAACTTACCCGTCATTCTCAACGACGCATTCTTTGATGTGTATAAAATTTGAAGGAAATATTCCCTGAAAGAAAAAAAATGTAAAATCTGTTATAGCTATCATATATATATTTTCTGTTTCTATTTAGGGATAACATGTTAATAATGTTATTCCAAGGGAAATACCAGATAATTTTATATCCTGGAAAGTGCTCTTAAAACTACTGCTTTGATTAAAGGTTTTCGAAGATGGTCCAAGGGGCAAGCCCCCAAAAATTTTGACAATTTAGGGTTTTCAAAGGCTTATTTAATCGATTTTAGAGTTTTCTTATAATGTACAAAATACACATAATTTTTTTTCTCCCCGTTGAATTGTGCTTTTTCTCCCCGACAGGGGGAGGGGGAAGAGGCCAGCTCTCCCCGACGGGGGGAGGGAGAAGAGGCCAGCTCTCCCAGATGGGGGGTGCCCTGTTTTTTGTACTGCACATTTATAGAGAGAGAAGCTGGCTGATTTGGCTAAACTGGTTGTAGCCACTGCATGTGCGCTTAACCAATGCTGCTCTTCTTGTATTTCAACTAGAGGGCTGAAATTCAAGTTTCAAAAGAGCACCGTCTTTTGGATGAGACGTTTGAGGTATTGGTCCCGTGTGCAAAATGGCTCACGTGCACGTTAAAAAACGCAGTATCTTCGGAAAAGAGTAGGTGATTGTCCTCCCCAGTCTTAGGACTTTCGTGAGTTTTATCATTAGTATGAATCAGACTGCAGAAATCCAATCCAATCCAATTTGTGATACATTGTGTTTTTTTTTTTTTATTATTACATATAACTTATCTCTGTCTGTTTAAGTTGAATTAATAAACACTTTAACACAAGTCATAAAACTAAGAAATAATAAAAATTAAAAAAGATCATTAAGATTTAAATAAAAGCAGTTTATAAATAATTGATAGCATATTGTAAATAACCCATTTAAAAATTGGAAAGAACTGTTTGACATTGGATTGGATTTATTCGATGTAAACACCATAACCCACAAAGTCTGCTCATACAGTAGAAATAACAGGGAATTGCATTATAATCTTGTTTTATTTGTAATTTTCATGAACAAATGAACAGTGTGTAAAACAGGTTTTAAGATCAATCCATGCTACACCTTGTATAAATAAATATGTTTGAAATATATTAAACTTTGTTCTATAAAATGCATCATACTGTACAGGTTAAGTGTTTCATGATAGGAATTAAGTAGTTTTCAAGCATGAGGAAAAAAATTCTTGTTTTAGAAGGATTTGAAACCAGAACTTTTAGGATGTAATAAGCAAAGATTAATCTGATCAGAGCATCAAACTTCATTTGACAACAAAAAAACATGTAACATGACTACTATGTGGCAAAGACAAGCCAAACCAGTCACTGATTGTCGCAAATCCTGTTTTGGAGATAACGGTCAAAACATGCTGCAATGTCAAAATTTTGGAAATCTATTTTATAGCACTAAACTACCCTTAATGTACCTATACATCATGCTACGCAGTCATTTTCCCCGTTTCCAATGGTATAACAACAATTTGGTGATGGGTTCTGCCTAAGAAATACCTGAAACTGTAAACTTTGAAGGCTAATTTCTCAAATATTGTTCTTTAAACAACTATATGTTTAAACTTGTGTAACTTCAAAACGAAATGTCGGATTTAAATGACTCTTTTAAGATTTTATAGCTTTTATTTTACTGTTTAACCCTGTATTAATAACTAAATAAATTGATTTTTGCGATGAGTGACTGGATTGTCTTGTCTTTGCCACATATGGTCATGATAACATCACATCATGGCTATATATAGGCACATCATGTCTTATATGGGCATAAAAATGTTTTTTTTGTTAAATTTTTTTGTAGGCGGGACAAAGCTCAATTACTAGAACGGATTCCCAATACATCTGTATACAGGGCTCGATTTAACTTTCTTTGGTGACGAGCCCACCGGGCTAGTTTACTGTATATTTCACTATAGGCCATTGGCTATTTTACTAGCCCAATCACTAGCTACATTTTACACAGTATGTTCTTGGCCAAGCATACCTGAAGCAATAGTTTATAAAAGATCTCTGGCTCACCGGGCTAGTAATAAGGAGGTTTCAGCACACGAACACATACGGTTAGGTTAGTGTGATGGATACGTCATGATTTTGACGTCATACGCCAGCTGCTATCCACTAACGTGTAGGGAAATTTTAGATTTATAGTAGGATCTTCGTTTAATTGTTCACATTTTACGAAGTGTAAAAAAAAAATGTATCTTTGAACACGTACGTGCCATTTTTGTGACATTTGAAGATAGCAAATTACGATAGAATGCGTCACATTTTGGGGTACCATAACGTCGGTGCTTTCACTTTTGGTTCATAAACAATAGGACCTATCACAAATCAACCAACACTTCTGGGCAACAAAGGAAGTATTTTTCGGCTACTATTTTCAAATTTCAATTTCCAAAACCTTACATATACTAATAAAACTTTGAGAAGCATGATGAAAGAAGAGAACAGAATATAGTAGGCCAAAGCTAAGGACCTGGGGCTAGGCTAAGCTTGAATTGCGCTGTGATTGCAAAAAACATAGAATGGCTACAAACCGTTACGGATAGTTAAACGTATGCGTACACATATTTGTTCGCATGTGAAACCTCTCTAATAAGGTAGTTTTACTAGCTCAGAGGAGTTCTTACTAGACATTGTACGACGGACTAGTACTACATCGAGCCCTCGTATCTTTATATAAATAATAGTCTAATTACTATTACTAGTAACATTCTGATCATTGTTATATAAATAGAATTAAAATGTTAGACATAATTAATGTATTTCTATACTTTATTGTTTGTACAGTAATAGAATTAAAATATTTGACTTAATTTTATTATTTTATTTGTAAATTGAATTAAAATGTTTAAACTAATTAATATTATTATTTTAGAATATTTGTAAATTGAAATAAAATGTTTGACCTTATTAATTTTATTATCTTTTGATTTTTTACAGGTTTTTGATATTTTTTGTATTTTAATATGTTCATTGTATTCTCATGTAATTCAACATTGATGAGACTGTCAGTTGAGATTAAACAAAATTGAATTGAATGAATGGAATTGATGTATTCTCAAAAGACAAAACATTATGCAACATTCAAAGAATCATTTGAAGTAGAACAGGAAAGCAAAACCTAGCATCAGGTACAGGATACAGTAACTGATAAGCAATGAAAATCAACTAACAGCAGCAAAACACTGAAGTATTCATAGAATAGGTATAAAATTATCAAAGCATTTCCTTGTTGCAAATAGGTTTCAAAAGCACATCCCATACAAATCACATAACCTTGGTAATTGTTCATCAGACATAGAAACTAGTTTTTTTTTTGTTTTTTTTTAGCATTTTAAGACGTCATCACGGAAGTAATACAGATACATGAACTATGCCCTTAAAATTATATTGCAACGTACCTATTTCTAGGAACATTATTTGATTACAATAGTTTTATTTTAAAATACTGTGGTTTTTTTTTAGCATATTTTGTATTGATTTTATTCAGGTATAAGAACGTAAAAAACAGTTAGCAGTACAAGACTGAAACAACTGAATTTACAATATGAAAGAAATGAATGACACACAAAAATTCAAATGTCTAAAAATACAGTACAATTTTGACTATTACTATATGAATAAATTGGAATCTTGAATGTATATACCAAGTGGTGG